ACGATGATGCTGGTGATGATGGTAATGATGATGATGATGATGTTGATGATGCTGATGACATAGATAAGATATAGCGGGCCATAGGCAGCGTTGATGATGATGGGAATGATGATGATGTCGATGATGTTGACTCTGGTAATGATGGTGATGAGGATGATGATGATGGTGATAAAGATGGTCGTCATGGTGAAGATGATGGTGATGATGATGAGGATGATGATCATGGTGATTATGATGATGGTGTTTGTGGTGTTGATGGTGATGATGCTGGTAATGATTATGATGATGGTGATGATGTTGGTGATGGTGATGATGATGATGCTGATGATGATGATCATGAAGATGACCATGATGATGAGGATCCTGATGGTGGTTGTGATGGTGATGATGGTGCTGATGATGGTGATGGTGAAATTTATGATGAGGATGCTGCTGGTGATGCTGATGATAATGGTGATGGTGGTGGTGACGATGATGATGATGATGGTGATGGTGGTGGTGATGCTGATGATGGAAATGCTAATGATGGTGATGATGATAGTGATGCTGATGATGCTGATGATGGTGATGGTGATGGGGATGATGATGATGATAATCATGATAATGATCATGATCATGATCATGATGGTGGTGATAATGTTGATGGTGATGGAGGTGGTGATGATGCTCATACTGAAACTGATGCTGCTGCGGATGGTAATGATGGTTATTTGGATGATGGTGCTGATGATGATGATGGCAATGCTAATGATGATGATGGAGATCATGATGATGCTCGTGATGATGGTGATGGGAATGATGATGCTGATGCTTATGATGATGTTGGTGTTGATGGTGATGATGATGGTGATGCTGTTGACTCTGATAATGATGGTGATGGTGGTGATGATGATGGTGATGATGGTAATGGTAATGGTGATGGTGATGGCGATGGTAATGGTGATTATGTTGCTGGTGATTGGTATGGCGATGGTGTATGGGATGAGCATTATGCTAATGATGGCGACTATAATGTTGATATTAATGATGATGATGATGGTAGAGCTGTTGGTGGTGATGATGGCGATGTGATGCTGATGATGAGGGTGCTGGTGTTGGTGATGATGATGCTGCTGATGATGATGCGTATGCTGATGATGATGACGATGGTGATGATGCTGATGTGATGATGATGGTGCTGATGATGATGCGGGTGATGGTGATGATGGTTGTGACGATGATGGTGATGTTGACGATGATGCTGATGATGAGTATGATGATGGTGATCATGGTGATGATGGTGCTGACGATGATGATCATGATGATAATGAAGACGATGGTAATGGTGATAGTGATGTTGATGATGGTGCTGGTGCTGGTATTGGTGTTGATGCTGATGGTGCTGATGTTGATGGTGATGGTGAAGGTGCCGATGATGATACAACAATTGATAATGGTGGCACTGGTGATGCTGACCATGATGATGTTGATGATGATGGCGCTGGTAATGGAGATAGTGATGGTGAAGATGCTGGTGATGGTGATGGAACTGGTGATGGTGATGATGATGGTGATGATGGTGGTGAGGATGGTGATGGTGATGATGATGGTAATTATGATGACGATGATGTTGATGATGATGATCATAATGCTGATGATGATGCTGATGACGAAGATGATCATGATGGTGATAGTGATGGACATGGTGATGATGAGTCAAATTGGTATGATGGTAATGATGATGATATTGATGGTGATGGCGATGACGATGACGATGATGATGATGGTGATGGTGATGGTAATGGTGATGATGATGATGATTATGGTGGTGATCGCCATGGTGATTATGTATGTGATGGTGTTGGCTATTTTGACGATGGTGATGGTGATGGTGAGTGTGATGGCGATGATAAAGATGGCGGTAATGTTGATGGCGATTATGTATGTGATGGTGATTAGTTTGAAGATGATGGTGATGATGGTGATGTTGATGATGATGGTGATGGTGATCGTGATGGTGATAATGAGGACGGTGCTGATGCTGGTTGTGGCGATGGTGATGGCGATGAAGGTGACGGTGATGTGATGATGGTAGTGATGGTGATGGGGATGGTGGTGATCATGACGATGGTAACGGTGATGGTGATGGTGGTAATTATGGTAATGATGATGATGTTGATGACGATGTCAGTGATGATGCTGATGATTATGCTGATTATGATGATAATGCTCATGATGGTGTTGAAGGTGATCGTGCTGCTGCTGACGATGATGATGATGCTGATGTCGTTGATGCTGATGTAAGTGATCAAGGTGGTGATCATGATGATGCTGGTAATGTTGATGATGGTGATGATGGTGATGATGATTGTGATGGTGATGGTAATGGTGATGACGGTGGCGATGATGATGCTGTGATGGTGGTGACGGTGATGTTGATGCTGATGGTGATGTTGGTGATGATGATGATGACGATGATGGTGTTGATGGTGGTGATGATTGTGATGACGGTTGTGATGGT